AAAGTGAGAATGCAAGAAAACACACATTATTGGAGGCTCAGTTTTTTATCGGTGACGGCAATCACAATTCGGAGCCGTGCACCAGAGTTGTCCTGTGACGTGGAATTACTGATTCATTCGCACAATCTTATACAGTGTCTTCATTGCGGCTATGTCCTATCCGGCTGTCAGAGTTTTATCATCAATTACCCGCAGAACGTGCCCTCAATGAGGGGTTCCGGCTGAACTTGAGGCGAGCGGGTCAGTTATCTCTTCTCGCGTTCCCCAGCATGTATAGGAGGCATTGGCTGCAATGATACGTTGTCTCCGGCGCGCACGCGTTCCATCATTGTTCCCGGCCTTCGCACCACGCATTCGGGACCGCGCTGGCGAAGCGAAACACAGTCGCGGGACACGTGCTCGAAACAGCAGCGTTCTCGTTGCACTGCATGTGTCCTCCGCGAACGCACACCCGCGTCCTTTAGACGCGAGTCTGCGACGAGTCGCCCGCGATTGTCGCGCTGTCAGGATGGGCGAAAACCCCGCCGTGCGGCTGCTGCGAGACAAATGTGGGCATTCTTCCACGTGACAGGGTGATAGTGAAGGCGTGCTCGGAAACCAGCTGCGGCTGCGTGCCCGCGCGTGCACCGCGGAGTCGGGCGGAGCAAATTATTTCTCCCTTATACGATACCGAGATATAGGAGAAGTGAGGTAGCGAACACAAAACTACACAGGAAAACGCGAGAGGAACTTGAAGGAGCAACAAACCAAGCCAGAATGCGGAGAGGGAAAGAACGAACGGAGAAACAATCTTGGTTGCACGCGTACACGGGGAAAGTTTGTACACAGCGTGCATACGCAAAGACCCCCTTAAGAGGCCACGCACGTCCTGCGCGAGCGCCAATAAAAAACGACCGTAGTGTAGCGGCACGTATATCCATAGATGGGCGCGCGCACAGGTCGCCGCACGGCTTGGCTGTCCCCCACCGCGCGTTCTCGAGAAAGCCTGTCGCCGCGTATTGTCTGAAGGAAGCACGCAAGACAACGCACCACACGTGATCGTGGGCTCTCAGAGCACTGGCAGCCACCCGTATGTAAAACGAACTCTGACAATAGTGCAGGAAGTCTGATCAGTCGATAGCCAAATCTTGTCCCGATCAAGCGAAAAAGCGGGATTTTGAACTAAAAGTAGGCCCACAGTCTTCGCGAACCGGTTTCGAAGTAAAACGAGCTCAGCCTATACATTCTGCCTTAACGCCTATCTCATCATCTTCGTCCTCAATATGCGTTAAAGGTACAAAGCGAGCATAATGACCTTTGTGCCGTTACCTTTGTACATGGGTGGCTACAAAGTGCGCTAGCGAAACGCGCGTATATAGGCTTTTGTCCAGGCTAATTTTAAGTCTTTTTCTCCGCCTCAAAGTTTTCTTTTTTTATGCGTATCGGGTATTGCGACTTTGGAAATATAGACCATTAATTTTGCGGTGTGTGTGTGTGTGTGTGTGTGTGTGTGTGTGTGTGTGTGTGTGTGTGTGTGTGTGTGTGTGTGTGTGTGTGTGTGTGTGTGTGTGCGTGCGACATGACAGTGTTAGGGCGTTGTAAAAGTATCATTTATGCAATGACGCTTCGTTAAAAGACATGTGCAGCTTTCCAGATTATGTAGAACCTATTATCTTACTAGCACAAAATGCAATACACGATGTTCTGTGTTTATGTGAAGTCCACTTTCTCCCGTACCTATGTTGGTTAGTCGGTTTAGGGTTTTCTCAAACGGTTCCTTTTTTTTTTTTTTGAAAAAGCGCAAGTAGCAATAGAGTCAGTATTCGATATTAAGCCAAAAGTATCACTCAAATCTGTTCAAACAACTGCAAAAAAACTTGTGCAACAGCCTTCTATTGCATGATTTGGCCAAAGAGATGATAAAAACTGATAAACTGGCCTTGAATATGTTGTTTTAGTTCCCCGCCGCGGTGGTCTAGTGGCTAAGGTACTCGGCTACAGACCCGCAGGTTGCGGATTCGAATCCCGGCTGCGGCGGCTGCATTTCCGATGGAGGCGGAAATGTTGTAGGCCCGTGTCCTCAGATTTGGGTGCACGTTAAAGAACCCCGGGTGGTAGAAATTTCCGGAGCCCTCCACTACGGCGTCTCTCATTATCATATGGTGGTTTTGGGACGTTAAACCCCACATATCATGTTGTTTTAGTTGCAAGACGCGCAATGATACCATGCCGTTACGGATAATTATTGCGAAAAATGTTTCTTGCTAAAATATTGTGGTGCTTTTTCTGCAGGAAAGCTGAATTTTCTTCAATTTAATGATCCGTTTCACACAAAGAATTCTCAGAAGATAGTGAATTTTAGTATCAAATGCCAAAGTAGTAATTAAGGCGTTGTCCGTTGATGTGAAAGATTTGTACTATTCTTTACCTCATGCTATGATTCCAGAATTCGTCGAACTGTGTATACTTGAACATGGTGCAGTGATCTTTCAGAACACTTGAGGTATTTCAGTGGGGAATTTTTTCGATTTATTTGCTTTATACTTAACGTTCATACTTAATTGGAATGGGAACACTTATATCCAAAAACAGAGTATTTGTATCGGTTCGGCTCATGCACCCGTACTCAGTGATATTTTTTTGGCCCACTTGGCTAGAATATTTGATACTTTTGAAGTATGATGCTAAAGAATTTCAAAGTTGTGCTGATTTGACCCTTGAAGTATTTGACACGGTTTGCCAACCTCTAAACCTTACACATAAAATGCCATGTGAGAACACGCTCAGTTCCTTGTTGTCTCTTTGAAATTTCAGGATGGCCCAGTTTGTTTGCTTTATGATCCCAGGAGCAAAATCTATTGTTGCCTTTCTCTTCTGCACATACTAAAGTAGTCAAGAGGTCTGTCACACGTATGTGCCTTTTTATTTCATAAATAAATCATGTTTTCACATCATGAAGAAGAGCTTTGAGCAACAGGTTTTACAACTTAGGCAGCAGGTTACCTGCAATGACTGGTTATAATCGTCGCGGAATCACTCTTGAGGGTTCTGAAGAAACTAAATAGGTAGCGTAATGACACTTCCCTGCAGCAGTGTAAAACGACTGTTGTCCCCTATATCCATGGTGTAGCACACAATCTCAAAGAGATTGGAAATAAGGTTTGTGTCCGTATGATCATGTCTGCTCCAGAGAAACTGTCAAAAATGTGTCGCGAAACCTGTCCTGTTTAGAAAGAAAAGAAAGGTTGCCAAGTTAAGCATCGAAATGAATATGTTCAGTGTGTACTGTCCATTGTTTTTAGAGTGCCCTTGTCCTGTGGTCTCGCTTGTGTTGGACGCACTGAAAGATGTATTACTAAGAGGTGCAAAGAACATCATAATAAAGTGCAAATGCTACCGGTGGTCACTTGGCGATCCACTGTATATATAAGGATTGCGGTTGTGTGTCGTACTTCAACAACACATGCACTTTAATCGTGACAGTGATTTACTAATTCATTTGATCGTTGAAGCAGCGGAAATGACACGTGATGACATTGAGTGTGTTAGTGCACCTTTTATCTCGCTCATGCACAAAAAACATTGTTTTTTGGGTGGTGTGATTGATAATAATGAATGAGTAAAGTACGGAACTGCACGTGTGTTTTTTTCCTATTCTGCCTTTTGCTTTTTTTTTTCTTCTTTCAGCCCTTCATATACTCGAACGTTTGCAATAAATGTTTAGTTGAAATTACGCGCTTGTGTTTCGTGTTCCTGTGTAAAATTTGTGCGCTTCCTACCAAGATGTTTAGAAGAAAACCTTAAAAGGTGGTATCCCATTATGCGACGATATTGTGAAATTAAATCCCGCAAGCACACAAGCAGTTTTACAGTTAAAAGCAATAATGTGTTTGAATAAATTGAGAAATATCGAAGCCACCGTCCACTTACGTCGTTTCTATGTTGACCAAATGTGCCATATTCCGATAAGGTTTTCCGCAATCACGCACTATTTGGTGATTGTGTTATGCAGGACTGCGCAATAAGCAAGCATTTTGTGCATAATGTTTACGAAGCATATACGTCCTTATGCACTGAACTTTCCGATTCAGCTAGTGTAACTAGCCTTGCTGTTAGGTGCTCAGCCTTAATAAACACCAAGCGGCGCAAGCCCCAATTATGCTATTAACTGCTTTGATGTTGTTTTTGACATCCTGTTTTTTTTTCTTATTTATGTCACTTGGTGGGGTGACCTACATTCAGAGCTTACATTGTAACGCGACGTTTTACGAACGTGTAACTATTATAATTATTCCAAATATAATGATTCACTTATCACTGTAATTATATAGCGGTACAAGTAATCATCGTCGGGGACGTTGTGGGAGAAAAGTAAAGCAATATTTACGATCGTGTGTGCCGATACGATGACCAAAGGTATGGTTTGAGACGAAGCGCTAGTACTGGACGGTTGGACGGTAGTTCATAAATACCAGGAGAATGAGACCGAAAGAATGCAGAGACAGAACATGCGTACGACCACAATATAGCTGAGAAGCAAGTCGAGAGGGTCTCGTTTGGCGGCACATTTACCTTGAGCGCGTAGCGAGGCGAACATACACAGAGCTCACCACTAACTCCGCAACTGCATTTTATAGGGTCCGGCAAAAGCAAACATACGAATACTTTAGGGGCATCACGCGCGTTCTATCCGAATGCTTTTTTTTTTTTTTTGCGGCTGATGTATAACCACGGCATTGAGGTGTATCGCGCCGCATGCACCGCACAGAGCTTGCGTGTAAGTGCGGCGCCGCTATCGAAGTGGTCCCGGTGGGCGTATGCCTCCTGCCTTTTGCATTTGCTTTCGTTCTTCGTCGCTCGTAACCGCCTATCACGAACTCTATCCCGAGTAATGGGCTTTGATGCGCGTTTTAGCGCTAGTAAACTGCGCCGTCGCATCACGCCAATGGCGTATGTCGGCAGCCGGCCGATCCATTTGCTAAGCTCTTTCTTTCCTCTCTCCCCACCGACGGGATCCGCAGGGTGTTCTTCCTGGTGGAGAAGGAGCGCAATTCGCTGCTGCTGACAGCGAGTCCCTGCTCGGCGCCTATCGAATGGCACATCTTCAGGAAGCCCCTGGCGCCGTCCGACTACTCCGAAGAGTCCAACGGTGGGTCACCCCGGCCGCCGTTCGCATGCACGACGCGCGCCCGGGGGGAGATTGTGCCGTTGTTTCTCAATGCACGCAGATGCATGACTGCCGACTGCTAGTGGATTGCACGGCAGGCGCTGTTACTCGTGTCACTTGTCTCGATAGCCAAGGCCAGCTAAGGCGTTATGCCGCGACTAACCGTATAGTGCCACCAAGCCACGACCTAAACATGCATGGCAGCAGCGGCATTCCCTGCGTGGGTTGATTGCTTTTAAAAGGTATAAGCCGTGCGCTGTACTACTTCACTTTCTGTAAAGCGCATGCCAGATCATCATTTTGAATTGGCTTTGCAAAATTTGCATGCCACGAAAGAGTGAATATTTTTAAACAAATCGTAAACAAAGCTCGCGATGAGTTCAGACTGTGGAACCAACCAGCATACCATTGATAGTAGGATGTCTGGGGCTAGCTTAGGAGTGTAGATGCCCACTGCTAGCCGTCTGCAATGTTCTAAAGTAAATACGCGCCGGCCTATCTTCGGCGGCGTTTTCTGAGGTGTAAAGATAAAAGAGACCTCAAGTTAGTGCTGATTTCGAAGTGACGCACTTAAATAAACACGCGGAAAAGTCTGTGTCCGTTCGCAAATCACACTGCGTGTACGTATGGCACTGACCTGTGTCGGAGAAGAGAGAGAAGAGTGGTAGGGTCAGTCAACATTGGTGCTTATTCGTGCATTCCATTCGCGATTCCAAGGCAGGCTACCACCACTTCCTTGAAGTGGCCGTCGGCTCGCTTTGTGTCTCGAACAAGCACTGAACAAGGTAGCGGCTGCAGGATGGTAAAACTTGGAATAATTATTCAGGCAGGGCTACTCTTTCCCATAAATTCTACTACTTTGCATCCGTGCTTTCTCTTCGTAGGGGCGACAAGGCAGTCTTTCCAGTCTGTTTGTCACACTTTAAATTCCTGCGGTATTCTACCAGGGAGAGATACGAAAACTAACTTCATATTTTCTATAAGTTAATAGTTATTCAGCTATGGTAATCTACGTGCATAATTAAAGCGATGGTGGTTACTGCCCTCTCTTAATGCGGTAGTAAATATTCTCAACACTATAAGGCATGTGTCTGCTGCAGCAAGCGTCCGGAAACGACTCAGCACACCGTAATGCAATGCAATATATTTCCCCTAGAGCTCTGGGATTCAAAGAGGTAGCGAACATTAAATAGCCAGCACCCGAGATAAGCAAGGGACGTCTAAAGTGTATGGACGGGAAACGAAAGCAAGGAACAAGTTGAAGGATTCGGAGCCGCTACACGCGTATAAATAAAGGTAAATGCACAAGACCGTGAAGGAGGAGGAAGAAAGTTTAAGCGGAAAGACAGGGACGTTAACCAGTTCTTAGACCGGCTGGCTACCCTGTGCTGGGGAAAGGGGGGAGGGGAATAGAAGATGTTAAAAAGAAATGTTGAGAAGAGAGAGAGAAACAAGACCGTTATGCATCAAACAGGCTATGGCTACTATTTTGCCCCCCCCCCCCTTTCAAAAGGGATGCGAAGAGTTATAATGCTGATATAGTCGTCATTGCCAAATTATATTACGCGATGACCGTGAATAACAACAAATCCGCCCATGATATCCGATCGCGAGAAAGGCTGCTCGATGTCGCATTGAGTCTTAAACACACAGACTTGCAAGTCCACGTTCATCTGCATCTATGCTCGAGACTAAGCTCAGTGTCGAGCACGCACTAGATGCACTTTTTTTTTTCTGGCAACACACGATGAACCGAAATCCACATCTCTTTGGGATAGTGTGTGCAATGTTATCACAGAACACGGTGCCTTGCAACAACACATCGAACCGCCCCGAGGGTCACCCAACTCTTACTGGAACATTATTCACATCATTTCGGCACTCTGTTGACCAGCTGCTCACCTCTATAAGTGCGCGAGAAAATCCCCACTGGATATCAACAAATATTTTTGTAAATATATTCTCGCGTAGATAAATTCACGCTTAGGTCAGATACTGCAGAGGTCTAATTCCAACAACTGCAGATGGGGGCAAGAAATTTTTGGCAGAGAGCAGTTTTGTGAGTGTTCATACTTTGTGAGCGCTCGCTTTCTATTCGTTTGCATCAATTTCTAAAATATTAAGGCGGACTGTGCATCTACAATAACGTGACGATGCTGTTTAGGCGTATAGTCGTTCACTGCTATAGTACCACGCTAGAGGGCATCCCATGTGCTCAATGATGCTACTTGTGATTTTCGACGATTCCCGCGCTCACCTGAACGTTGTCAAATAACGACCTCAACATGCTGGTTTTTCTTTCTTTTTAATTTAATGACACTGCGTATATACATCCGTAAACAGGTGTTGTGTTGAGCTGACGTTTCGACAAGCGGACCTCAAGGCTGGAACAGAATAAAGATTGCTAACAGCACAAGCGACAGGAGGGGATAGAATAGAGGAGACCCTTCTGTTGTTTGCGCTGTTAAGCAATCTTTGTTATGTTATACCAACACGCGCAATGCTACTATCTATTAAGGTTGGAACATAGGACCGTTCCAGCCAATTCGCTTGCCGAAATGTCGGCTCAACACAACCCTTGTTTACGGAATTTTCATCGCAAGCTTCCATCTTCCCCTTCCTACCGTCTTTGGTATATATATATATATATATATATATATATATATATATATATAAGGGAAAGAAGTGTATACCTAAGGGCTCGTGCCCTTAGGTATACACTTCTTTCCCTTATTTCATTGAACGAGGGTCTCGTACTGGCAGACTTGGTGTGTTTAGGTTGTATAAGAGGGACAATTAATCAGCTGCCCGCTCATAATAAGTTCACGTGCTTCGTGACGCCAAACATGCGAATAAGAATGTTTTCACACTCGTCGTATGGCTTATAGATGGCGCTGACTGTCACTCCTACTTCTAAATTCCCATATAAAGCCAAAAAAGTGGATGGAAAGAAGGCCGCTGTGGTAGCTCAGTGGTTAGAGCGTCGAACGCGTTATTCGAAGGTCGTAGGTTCGTTTCCTGCTCACGGCTGGTTATTTTTTCATCCACTTTCTTCTTTCTTCTTATTTACATTCCATTGGTTCTAATAACTTCCCCTGTACCATCCTTGGCATTATTGTCTGTTAGATCTCATATATATATATATATATATATATATATATATATATATATATATGTGTGTGTGTGTGTGTGTGTGTGTGTGTGTGTGTGTGATTGTTTGTTTTGTCACGCTAAAATTATGTTGTCAAACTGTTATTTTGCGCACGTACGTGATATTGCAGCTGCACGTTATATGTGCCGACCGTTTTCCTCACTGCGTGACATTATTATTATTCGTATATTTGAGACTTTCATTTACAGCATTCTGAGACTACCTTAACTTGTGTGAAAATATACTTTGAAACCAGCGTCGTATTGTATGCTCTATCTACTCCATGTAGAAGGAGTAGCCGGTGCCTTATTAGAGGATAGACGTCACAGCCATAAAAAAATGCAGTAAATGTAAATCTCTCTGTCTATTGATGCTCCTGCTAGCTGAATTCAGCATGTTTCTTCCAATCGCGTTTACGGCAATACCGAATACATTCTCACAATAAATATAATACAGGCGGCTTACACCTAAAAAATACTTTAGGCAGCATAGCTGTTGCATTGTTACCTAAATCCTGTGAGCAGGTCAGTTATTCACTTGTATAAGGCGCATAAAATTGGCTAAAGAGACTTGCAGATCCCCTTCAGGCGCGAATTATGACTCTCTGTCTACGAATGTGTTCAATTCACATAATTATGTAGCACTCAGTATCACGTTCTGAGAAAGAACATGAGGCAATTTGTTGTTTTCGGCGCGTTTCTGGAAATAATTGCAATTAGCGTGTAAATAATTGCGTTATTATTGTAAAGTCAGTCGTGTTTCATTTTGACTTAAGATAATGAAATCATAGGATCTGAATGTGCATCCAATTAGTTTTTGGTTGCATTCATTTCGACAAATGAAACGTAACGATTTTGATGTTGGTTTTGGAACACGGCACGTCGAATGACCTGTAGAACATTGTGGCTCCTTCACCAGAGATATCGGCTACAGTCTTATGCCCCTTAAGTCAAGACATATTAATTATGCAGAAGGTTCAATACAGCTAATGAACAATGTATTTTGTTCTTTTTTCGCCACTGGTTGGGACAACTAGCATAAACAAATTGCGTACGCAAAACGTAGCCACCACCGCTGAAGGGGGTTTAAGACGAAAAAATGGATACTGTAATAGATAGATGAATGTAAAAAACATAATAGTATCAATAAATCAGAAAATAAATATCTCGGTAGCACCAAAAAAAGGAAGCATACTTGAAAACCTTGGCTATGCGAAATCATGATGAATTCGATGAAGGCGAAAATGTTTGAGGCCCGTCTAATTATATTTGTTGTAGCGGAATAGCAGGGAGGCAGACTTTTTCTAGTGAGACGACGACAGAGAAAAAAACACGTCCTTTCAGTTTGAACGCATCACGAAGACTGGTTTATTCGTTCGCTATGTACCGCTGTCGTAGAGAGGGGAAGAAAAAAAGGAAAAGCAAACAGAGAAGCACAAGTATTGTCAAAGAGTTTCCTCCGCACCCCGCACGTGCGACGGTCTTCAAGGACAGATGGACAAAACGCTTTCCGCGTGTTCGAGAAGGGTCATTGTGGCCCTCACCCCCTTTTCCCTTCACGGCTGGGCTTGTAGGTAAAAACAGATGTCAAGGACGCCCTTCGCTCCTTTCGCATTGCCCGTCACGCGAACCACCCGAAAACGAGTCCCTCCGAGTTGCCCCTCCTCCCCCTCTTCGCCGCGGAGTCTTTCAATTAACGCTCCCCCGAAGCGGGGGCTGCTTCCCAGTATGCGACAAATACAACAACCTCCCCCGGATGAGCGAACTCTTGAGCTCATTGTCGGTCGACTTCTAGCGGATAAAGCAGCTGTATTGGTCGTTTCACCACCGTT